CTCCCTTTCTCCTGTAGTCTCCTGTCCTTCAAATAATTTTCAGTGCAGGTGTTTCTCAACATCCAGCTTTTTTCCTCTTTTCTCAAGCCTTTCCTAATAGGAAATACATATACTGATATTGTACTTGGGTATGTTATGTGCTTCAGTAGCCTGTGTGCTTCTTATAAAGATTTGATTTTTGTAATTGTTCCTTTTTAGTTTATTTTGAACAAGCTTCCTCATTTTTCTCTTTTTGAAGTTTAGCACAGCTGTGGGGGATTTGCTTTTGTTGTTCATGTGGGAGTGTTGACTCTCAGTATATTATGGACACTGTTACATAGTGTTTCCATTATGAAATTTTGAATCTGATCCTGCTCATCACTCAGTACCAAATCAAGGGTTGCGTTTCTTCCTGCTGAGCAATTGGTTAGCAGGCTCATGAAGTGGCCAGTGATAGCATCTAAAAATGTCCCCCTGCTTCATGTCCTGATGTGACCCTTGCCTGGTCCCAGCAGGCAACTGAAGACACTACTAAAATCATATTTCCTGCTCTTGTAGCCTGTTAGATCCCTGAACGTGTTGTGGTCAGGAATGTCTTCTAGTAGTATTGATCCAGCACTATATTTTTTTTTCCTTTTTGAGTGCAGAATTTCAGTCTATTTGAATTATTTTTCTTGTAGAGATTAGTTTTGTTTAGAGTCTAAGCTTTTTAACAAGATATTAGGATTCCATGACTGGCACAGTTTTACCCTGTGCTGTGTATTTCCTAACTTGGTACTATCATGTCACATTGATTTATTAGGTGCATGAGAAATTTTGTGAAATAAATAGTCTGTGACTTCATGTAGGGGCAGAAATTCTATTGTCCGTATCTTTCTAGACTTCCAGCATGTGCTGGAATTTCTATTTCAGTTCATTAATGGACATTCTGTTTAAATGAAAAATTGTCTTCTGCTTCCTATTTGATGATGATTACTATCTGACTACTCTGTATTTAAGGATAGGGATTTGTGTCTGTCTCCTAATGAAAAAATGTTTTGCCTTTCCTCTTAATGATGTTCCAAACAGAATGTATCTGGAATGACATTTTGAAGGAAATTGGCTTTTCTACATTCTTCACTTGAAAAGCTCAAATTCCTCTGTTTGAAGTATCTTCAGTTTGTTTTTTGTCAAACCATACATCCATGTAAATGAGTAGCATAGTGAACTAGGCAGGATCTATAGAACAAAAGAGTTGATCTTGGGAACCTAGCAGCTATGCTAAACATACCTGGGGATTTTTACTTCACATAAACCCTTTTTTGAACCTCTCAGCTGAATTCTTGTTAGCAGTTGAAAGCATTCAGTGTGTTCCCTCAGGATGTTTGCTTGAATTATTTAATCTGAATGCAATTTTGATTTTTTTCAATGCAAATCAATGCATATTAAGTGGGAATGATTGGAAGATTAATTTGAAAAAGATCCTCCCAATTCAAACTGAAAGGCTAAATAAACCTTCATATTAAGGCCATCCATCTTATTTAGGTTCTCTTTACCCTGGAAGTACTCCTAATAACTGATGAATCTGAAACTTTCTTGTCACAATCTTTTCAGACAGTTATTTAAGTCTTGTGCCTCTAGCTTTCTTCTTGGGTCTGCGTCAGTACTAGCAGAGCTTCAGAGAGTTAAACATTTAAAACTTGCCATAAAATAGTGATAATGTATACTGCAAATACATCTGTTATGTGAAAAGGGCTTAAGTCTTCAGCATTATAATTGTTCATATTTCTATTGATTGTGGCTGGGGAAAAAACAGAGTACACTTTGCCTAGAATAAAGCTTCATCTCATGCATGGGTAATACTAAAAGATATATGGCAAGTTACTAAGAAACTGTTAAAACTGACAGGATTCTTTTTGGTGCAGTAATCACAAGAAGTGCTCTGCTCTAAAGCTCTGATACCCAACTTCTGCAAGAGGTGTTGGGCAGCATGGATCAGGATTACAATCTGAAATGGGAAGGAATCTGCTATTACTTACACTGGAACTAGTGATTCTTACTCGCCACTGAAATTGAAGGCAAAATAAATATTGTGTGATCTGAGTAGAATTTTTATACTGAATCAAGGTTAGAAATAAATCATATAAAACATAATAGCACAAGTTTCTGTTTTCATGTACAAAGGTGTCATTGACTGCCTACATCATCTGTAAAACTTGTTTTCTAAACTAGCCACCAGCAGCAAATGAGTTTCCCTCATGTGGGCTGTGAGGGTGTACAGAGATCAGCAAACCTAAGCACAGGATTAGATGTTGTTTATGAAGGTCAGAACTGAAGGTGTGAGAGCTGTTCTCCATCTCCCAGGCACAGACTTTAACCTGGCTGGAGCAGTGCCCACAGCCCGTGTGAAACTCGTGAGCCATCCTTCCGAGCTGCTGCGTCAGCTCCAGTGGTATCAGGAAATCACAGCTCCTTTCCAGCTGGGATTGCACTGTCCTTGCAGCAAGGCTGGGTGGGGTAGGCAAGTGTTTGCTTGTAACCTTCTCATGTGCATACAATCAGAACCTTTCTCATGCCATAAAACCACATAAAGCTACAATGTCCATGCTTTTGCCCAGATCATTGATTATGAGAAGAATCAGACGCTGGGACAGAACGACACTGGATTTAGCTGTGATGGAACAGCCAGTACCTTCAGAGTTATGTTCAAGGAGCCCATTGAGATCCTGCCCACGGTTTGCTACACAGCTTGTGCAACCTTGAAAGTAAGAATGCCTGACAGGACAGAAGAAAGTGTTACTGTGATGCAAGAGTTGTTCTTTTATCAGTCTTCTGATGGGAAAGTGTCTTCTAGATCTTGAATTTATTTTAATTTTAGGGCTAAAGAAGAACGTAATTTGAACTCTGCTGTAATTTTTAAGACTGTTACACCTCTTCTGGGACACAGCATGGAATTCATAACTGGATCCTTTGTGCCTTCCCAATTTTTTGCTTGATGTAGGAGTTAGAATAGTGATAATGGAAGTCACTGGTTCTCTGTGGGGGAAAAAAGCACTATCTAGAAAACATAATCTGGCAGCTCTCTATCAGAATTTAAGTTTGATTTCTTTTATCAAGGATATTCTAACCACTAGCTAAATTCAAGAAAACAGCTTTTTTAAAATGTCTTTTTATATACTGGTGCTGAAATAATAGGCAAGAATTACTTGTTCTTAGAAAGTCTCCTCTCAGTGTTGTGGGCAAATTTATTTCTCAAAAATATTTTAATGTTCTTCTAAATATAATCCCCTATACAGAAATCAGAGTTCATTGGGTTGGAAAAATACTGCACATAAAAAGCAGCTGAGTCAGGGAACTAAGTAAGAATACAGACAGAATATCTCCTGTGTGGTAAGGAGAAATACTAGAAAGTATTCATTACTAGTTGGATAAAATCAACTGGTTAAGTCTGGTGTCAGAGAAATACATTTTTGTTATTTAGACATAGGGTCTCTGCTTCTGTTGCCTGTGATTTTGTATATAATTTATATTATGTGGGTACAGAAATTTTATGCTGTAGCAATAGCCCAAGTCAGTTGTGTTTGATCATCAGCAGTTTTTGGGTCTTGCCCACTTCCCATTCTTTTGCTAATCTCTTGTGATGCTTTTCAGGGTCCTGATTCCCACTATGGAACAAAAGGTTTGAAGAAAGTGATCCACGAATCTCCTACCGCTAGCAAAACATGCTTTGTCTTTTATAGTTCACCAGGTAACAACAATGGTACATCAATAGAAGATGGACAGATACCAGAAATAATATTTTATACTTAGTTTCACATGATGATCTGCAATATGTTGGCGTCTCAGTGGACTTCAGCTCACTATTGGCAGCAGTTAAAAAAATTTTGTTAAATTACTTTATTGTGTAAGAAAAACCCTAATTTGTTTGAGGGGTACCAGAAAAGCTATTTTTTTCTGCATTGTTATTGGTAGATTGTAATTTCGCTTTTCCTCTAAATGAGATGTTAATGGAATAAGTACTCTGTATATTGAAAAGTTTGTTTTAAGTAGTACCTTGTGGTTAATTACTTTGTGTTTTCACCCCTTTGTTTCTCATGTAGTAAAATTCATTTTTTGAACTGGAAAATGCTTACTTGTTATGAACAACTTGTGTATGTTTTCTCCAATCTGTCCTTAAAAGACAGTAAAGCTGCTGCTGTAGTCCCATCTTGCACTTCTTTCCAAAAGATTGGATTGACCCTATGGACATGGATTGCTACTGTATTTTTTTGAAGTACATCAGCAAAGCTGTATTCATATTGCCATCATCTTGACTTTTTCCAAGAGCCATGGAGAATTAATGGACTTTGCACTGCAGAGAACATCTGCAGCAGCACTGAAGAAATAAATATTCAGTCAAATTCAGCAAGAAACAGATCTTTCCCGAATCTCTCTTAATTCAGAAGGGCTGCTTTGGAATATAGAACTGGTTATGCAAATAGCCACTGTATATATACATATGTGCCTATAAAAGATGTATAATGTGAAAATGAGAATACTTGTACTGATGTTATTTTATCATTGGATATTTTAGTACTAAAAAAATGAGCATAAACCTAAGGATTATTGGTGTGCAAGGGGTTTTATAGATTGCATACAATAATTTGATGCAATTGCTGTATGTATATAGTATTCATTGCTTTGCAGTATGTACCATGTAGTAGCAGAATGGCTTGGTGTACAAAGACCTGTACCCTCCCAACGTTATACTAAAATTTGAGAATGCAGGAGAAAAAAATAAGAAAATTTCCTTTCTTAAGGGGGAAAAGGGGGAGGTCACGCAGGTTTGGGGTGTCCAAAGGCTGTGTGTAGAACAAGCGTCTGTCAAACGTCCAGCTCTGTGCACACAGCGCTCTCCTGGCCCAGGGCACGGCGCTGTTCCGAGACAGGGATGGGGCTCGGCCGTGAGGGACCAGCCGGTGAGGGCACAGGGCCAGGCTGGGCTGAAGCAGCCGCTGAGGGCACAGGGCCGGCCCTGTGCCGGACCAGCCGCTGAGGGCACACTGCCGGGCCGGCCGGGCCGTGCGGGGCGCGCAGGCGTCTCGGGGCGGGCCCGGCGCGGTTGCCGGAAGGGCCGCCCCGGCCATGCCGAGCCTCGCTGGGTTCCTGCGGGTGCGGGCGGCGCCGGTGCGGAGCTGCGGGGCCATGCCCGGGAAGGTGCGGGCAGGGCAGGAGAGGGAAGGCGGGTAGGGGCGGGTGGTGCCCGCGGTGACCGCGCCTGTTCCTCTGTTTCAGGGAAAAGCAGCCGCCAAGGGCCCCGCGGAGCCGGGCGCCGCCGCGGGACCGGTGGTGGCGGCGGGCGGCGGCTCCGTGAGGGTGGCCGTGCGCGCCAAGCCCGGCGCCCGCTGCAGCGCCGTCACAGGTGGGTCTGTGGGCCGGGACACCGGGCGCTGCATCGCTGCACCCTGAGGAACGGGGGCGGAGGGAGGGAACGCGCAAAATCCCCGCCGGAAACTGAAGCGAGGAGTTCGGCTCTGCAGGAGGAGCTCGTTCGCGTCCCCACTGTGTAGCGCTGGGTGGCGCGGTGAGCACGGGGTAAATCCTCATCCTGAATCCTTCCGTTTGGCGTCGGTGGTTTCGTGCAGGCTGTTTGTGTCTCGAGGGTCTGTGCGGTTTTATTAGAGCCGTAAAAGTTGGATCTGATACAACGTGTTCTCCCTCTAGAGCCCTGGGCTTGCGCCTGCACGCATTGGGAATGCTTTCACATCCCCCGTGTGTGCGGCACCCACGGGCTGTGGCAGTGTCCAGGCCCCGCTGGAATTTCCTGACAGCGTAACTCTGAGCAGACTGATTCAACAAGCGGATTTTGGGGTGGAGGTGGGGGGATAACCTGATTTGTGTTAGTGGTGCCAAGCAGGACAACACCTGCACAAGAACGGGCGGTTGAGGGGGGCTCAGAGCGGTCCCCATCGTGAGAACGCTGGTAACTCATGACTGCACCCTGATACAGCATGAAGGTTCACTGCTTGTACTGTCAGGAGTTTATATTTGATTGTACTGGCCGACAATCAAGGGAATTCATGAAATGTGAAAATGCCATCACCTGCTAATCTATACATTTACTCGGTTTTAAATTAAAATGCTTTTGAAAGCATAAACATTCATTTTTAGGAAATTATGATGTGATGTTTTGACTATCCTCCCACTATTTGCTGTAGATGTGACGGCTGAGGCAGTAGGTGTAGCTATTGCTGCACCTCCATCAGAAGGGGAGGCGAATGCAGAGCTGTGTCGCTACCTCGCTAAGGTGCTTGAAGTGAAGAAGAGTGACGTTATTTTAGAGAAGGTACTTCCTCTTTTTCCTTTCAGTTTTGCCCTACTGCAGTTGAAATTCAAAATTTTGAAACTTACACATTGAGTACAGGGAGCTACTCCAAGTTCAGTCTGAAAAACACTTTAAAAAGTTCAGTTGAGTTAACGGAATGATTCACTGAGAACAAACTTAGTGTAGGAAGAACTATGGCTGATCTTGAGATTTTTTAACCAGAAGAGTTATCATGACAATCTTTTGCAAATCTCTGTAATTCATGTTTTCTGTGTTTTCTTCAAGATTCTCTTGTTTTCATGTCAAATGAGTTCCCAGAATTTGTGTTCTGCAGAGAATGTGCATTTTATTAATACCTTTTCACTTTTTTTTTGATAACTTTTGTATTTGATTCTGACATTTAACTGTCACACATAACCAAGAGTGTATGTAAGCACTTGGGTTTTAGCTGGGCCTCAGGAGTTTCTCTGTGTTAGACTTTACATGTCTTGACTTAAGTGAGTGGAAACTCTTTGTTTTATTCATTGCACTGAATAAATAATTTGTTTTATTAATTCATTGTACTTGAAGTCAGTCTTTCCAGCCATTTTCATTTGTAGTTTATAAGCACAAGATCACAATGAAAAATGGTGCTTTTTTATTTTTATCTGTTGGTTTAGTGGAATAGTTACAGAAGTCTTTTAAAGACTAATAGTAAAGGATAAGATGACCAAGGAAATGTCATGAAAAGGTACAGACAAAAAGATGTGAGTCTTGTTTTTCCTGAATCATCGGCAAACTGCTTCATTTGTTTATCAGCATTTTATAAATAACACTGTTTTCTTACCATAAAGGGTGATTCTCTGAAATATGGGTTTTTCTGTGTTTGTCTAAACCAGGGGGGTAAATCACGTGACAAAGTGGTGAAGATTTCGGTATCAGCGACACCAGATGAGATTTTAGAAAAACTGAAAAAAGAAGCTTCCAGTTGACCTAAAACAAGAGCAGGAAATAGGAAAAAGCGTCTTGGTACATGGACTGGTATTCTTTCTTACTTAATGTTGAGAAGTTGAGAGTGTGGGTAATGACTACAGGAAGATACTTCTTTCCCCTCCCCTTGGTAATATGGGTGCTGTACAGTTGAAGTTTTTCTGTAGGTTTGGTTAGAAAACTGAGATTCTGTATCTGCCTCTGTCACTACGGACTTCCTTCTGCTCTGGATGGTTTCCTGTGGGTAGGATTTGTCCTCTTTCCTGGTGCCTAAACAAATGGTTTAGGAAATGTTTTTTGTAGTGGAGCAAATGTTGGTTATCAAAGTGAGGGGCTTGGAGTGACAGCCTTCCATGTGGGAAGTGGTACAAAAAGGAAAAACCTGGATGGCGGAGACATAAAAGACTTTTCTGTCTGATATCTCACAGCAGGTGCTGTGTGCAGCTTTTCACTGTGGGCACTTACAGATATCTAAAATAAATGTCTTTTGAAGCCAGTGTGCTGTTGTTGATCACACAGACAAACTGAAAGTAGAATCACCTGAGCAACTGAAAGAAAACCAGAAGTTTTCAATATGAAAAACCAGCGCGGGACCTGATCATGGCACATGTGGGGTCACTTTGTAATAGTCTGTAAATAGTTTCCTTAAAAGTAGAGATTTGGTCATATATATATCTTTGCCAATTGTGTGTCACCTGTAATGACTGTTTGTAATAAAAGGGGCAAAAAGTATTCTCAAGCTTTGGTTTGTGTTTATATTTTTAACAAAGAAAAGAGTTGTTTCCTAGAAACATCTTCATAGAATGCTACTTTGAAACAGCCTTTTTTTACAGTTTTTCCTTGGTCTAAAAATGAGTAGTAATGCAACCCCTAGAGAACAGAGTTGAGTCATTTGTAGAACAGAACAAAACAAGAAGTCTGAAATGAAATGGGCAAATTTACTCCAGTTTCAGGGCTGATGAGAAAAAGGCTGAACTTCTCTATCTATCATGCTTCAGAGGTCAGAGGAAGATTTAACTGACATTTCCCAAAGATGTGTGTGATACCACACATGGTTCTGGTAGGACTTTGTTTTTTCCTCTGCATCACTGCTGATGAATGAAATTGTCCATTATTTGTCCTATGGTTGTCATGTTAAAAAGAAAGTAATGGCTAAAGGAAAAAATATAAACTGTCCTGCAGGTTTGCTTAAGATTTGTCATACATTCTCCTGGAAAGCAATGTTATGGATGCATAAGCATTTATGCTGATGCATTACCAGACTGATGCAGTACAGGCTTCATAGATCATAATTCAGCTTTTTCATGGGCAAAAGTCTTTCACTTTAGGGAACTCTTTCAGTGTCCTGTTACCCTAATATTGCAGCAGTTGCTTTTGGAGTTAGAGAACTGGTGTTTGTCAAGATGGCAGTTCCTTCAAGGTGACTAATTTAAAAGATGTTATGAAGAAGCTTACTTTCTGGAGAAATAAACTAAATTCTGAATTCTGTTTGTTTAATGGCTTGCACCTGAGCCCCTTATTTTCTCAGGCATACATTGTCTCAGTCCTCTTTCCTTACTTGTCTTTTCAGTCTGCACAGGCTGATTTTATTTTACTCTTCCATCAGTTTTGGTTCACCCCTCCCTGATGCTAGATATGCTCTTGCCCAGCAGAGGGGTGCCGTGTCTTGCAGAAAGATTAAGGCCAAGCAAACCAAGATGAAGTGTTTGTGGTTTTGTTGGGGGTTTTTCCTTTTATTTCCTAATGAGAAGTAGAAAACGGCAATAAAAACACTGAGGAATTCTGTATTTATAAATTACATTTGGAATTGGATGCTGCAACAGCCATTATAAAATTTTTTTTAAAGCTTATATACTCTGTTGAAATAATGTATTTCATTACATTCCCTGTGACTTCAGACACAGACTGAGGGAGGAGCTGTGTGGACAGATACAGTCTCTGCAGTCCATTGATCTTCAGTGATGATTACCTGAAATAGCCAATTTAGTTTTTCAGTGCCCTCTCTGTCTTGTCAGCATGTTCTGCCTAGGTTTTGCTGGCTTCTGCTTGGCTTCTTCACCTTTCATAAACACCTTCAGCTGCCATTCTGCATCTGTTCTTCCTGATCAATGAAAGCAACTTGAATTCATGATAGTGTGGCAAATAAAGCCTTTACATGCTGGGAATGTGCAATTCATGTAATATGAGTAGCCAAAATTATTTTGGAATGGTTGTATAAGTAACATGGGGATGTTGCCATATGGAATAATGGAATCATACTTGATAGCCTCGTATGTCAATGTTTTCTGTGCTGTATATCCCTATATCAGTCATATCCATAATACCTTGGTTGTGGATTTAGAGAACCTGATAAAATGCCTGGGAGGGTGGAACTGCTGGTCCATTGGTGTAGGCACACAGTTTTGGTGATTGGCAGTGGGGCTGTGTTTTAGGCACACAGTTTTGGGGATTGGCAGTGGGGCTGGCCCAGCCTCATCCCCAGAGGGCTCAGCTGTGAGCAGCAGGTGAGCAGCACTGACAGCAATGAGCCATGGAGTGCCCAGGGGCACTGACCAACCACAAAGGGAACAGAGGGCACACAGGGGCAGGGCATGAGCAGGAGGGGGTAAAAGGCTGGGCTAAAGAACAAGAAGAGCAGACACTTGAAGCCTTCTGGAGTGGAATGATGTTACTCTGCATGGGCAGATATTTGAAGCCTTCTGAGGTGGTAAGGTGTTACTCTGTGTGGGTTAAAGCCTTCTGAAATTGTTTGGTGATACTCTGTGTATCATGGCCATCTCAACTGCAACACATCATATATCCAGAGAGGTAGAGAAGAGCTAAAAAACATGGATGACTAAACAACCCCAAAATTGTGATTTAGGCCTAGCTCCTGCAAGTCTTGCATTGAAATCCTAACCTGTCAGCTGTCTCTTCACGAACATGGTAAAATATCTTTAATTCTGTTGAAAAAATTGTGGTAGCAAATATCCCTTACTCCAGCAGAGTATGTTTTCACAGAGCAGAGCTTTGTGATACTGTATAAGAAGCTGCTTTCAAGAATTTCAAGACACTTTACAAATCCCTGTTCAAAGTAAATTCTTATTCCTGGACCAATTTAAAAACATTGTGCCAGTTGCTACGTAACTTTTAGCTGTTGCTACCTGCTTTATCCATGTGCATTAAGCTACATGATTACTCAACTGTTGAAATCAAGCACTGTCCTCTTTCCCTAATGCATGGTCTGACCAATTTCAGTAAAATCCATCCAATGGTGATTTAATATCTGACTGCTTGCAGACTTGCACAGTCAGTGCAATTTTAAAGTATAATTACGTTATTTAAACATTAGCAAAATAGAAGTTATCTGAATAAATTCTATGCAGTCTTATGGCGTAGAAGGGTCTTAGTCTTTCATCCACTCAGTTATATTTCTTTTCTAAAATCCAGCTTTGAAAGTTGCTTTCATTGTAATAGTGTAATATGCTAATTAAGGGTATTTAATTTTACCCTCTGAAACTGTCTCTTTGCTTTTTTCTTTCAATCCACTTTACTTAGCATCTGCAGTGCATTCCTATCTCCCATTTTAGTCCTGAGTGTTTCTAAATCCTCATTTCTTCAGGTATCGTCAGTCTAAATAATCCTGGATAATTGACAACTTTGTCAATAACTGGCAGCAGCAATTTAGCAGAAAACAGAGTTTAATATCTTCCAGCTTCCAGGAAGATAAATACACCTGATCTTCCTGCTCAGTACTTCACATCTCATTCTTGTTTCCCCTCTCATAATGTTTATTTGCACGTGTAAAACTTGAACCAGCTGAGTTTTTGAAATTGTTTCTGTATTTCTTCTACCTACTGTATTCCACTCTTGATGTTTTAGTCTTTGTCTTGGGAGGATGATTTATTGCTATATTGATGGATTTAAAAATGGGCTCCCCCATCTCCTTTGGGGAGCACAATGCTTTATCCTTCTGTAAAAGCTGTCCTGGTTGTTACTCTCGAGGAAGGGGCTGCACTTGAGGCAAAGTGCTCTTAATACAACTGAGGCATAATAAAAAAGCTTCTGAAGAAATGAAATGCTTGCCTGAAAGGAGGAGTCTCGTACTTCACTGAGATATTGGAAATTTGTTTCTTCCTGATCCCTTATATATTGGCTTCTAAAGTAATTGTTACTGAGCTGTGATAAATTTTCTTTCATCTGTAAATGGTGCATTTATTTGTTCTTTCAAGAGCTGGGGAAGTTAGAGTGATGAAGTGTCCGTGTGCCATCTCTTACTACAGCCTGAGGGTGAGTTTTTGGAATATTGTTTAAATAACATTCTGAGTTTCCAAATCTGAAGTATGGCAGGTGAAAAGTGAAATATATTGAGTATCATTTCAGCAGTTGGTCACTATAGAAACATGCTGTAAAGAGAGCAGTTAGCCGTGGACTCAAGGAAAGAGGAACAAAAAACAGAGGTCAAAGCCTCATTTCATGCTGCTCAGATAAAGCAGTTGTCTTCCTTAAGAGAATAACCAGAATTACAAACTGTAATTCCGGGGTGATTGTCATTAAGTTGTTTTTTCCTAATACCTTGTACGTGTGCAGTACATGTGGGAAGGGCTGCAGCAATGCTGTTCCTTTGGCCAGCTTTTGTTGCTGTAGTGCTTTGCAAACCAGGATGCACTGAGGCATAATTTATAACAAATTTCAAAGCTCTCAACATGTGTTAGGACATACTTTGTGCCCAGCTGTCTGACAGGGGCATTACCAAATTGAATTTTATAAAACAAGCTATTTGTGCGGAACCTTTTTTTTTTACCAGTGGTATTTTTCATAATTTGTCTTAAAATCTATTAAGTTTTTTGCATCCCTTCTGATGTTCAGAAGGGGTGTTACATTTGATGGAGGTATCAGCACACATCCTGCCACCTTCCTGTCCCTTCTGGGTGCTCTTGCAGCCTCTCACCTTCAGTTCTGCTGCTGCTGTTGCAGGTAAGTGCCCTCCAGCAGGACCAGGCTCTCAGGGGTTGTTTCTGCTCTCTGTTTGTCACATCAGCATTTGTTGCTGATGCTTATCTCCTTAGATGTCACCACATTTCTGTTTTTTGGGCCTGACAGCCCTTACAGGTGCATTCATTGAGGAAGGAGGGAAAAGACCTTGTGATACAATCTTTGCAATCTGAGGGCAAACCTGTCCCTTCCAGTGGGGCCCTGTGGCAGCTCTTTGTAGCCTCCTGGCATTTGCCCTTTAGTGAAATGTCTCCTTTTGTCTCCAGTAAATCTGACAGCAATCAGCCAGCATGTATGTGAGGTCATGTTCCTGCTATGAGGAAAGATTGCTGGTAGCTACTCAGATGCACTTCTGAACAGGCAATTTTCTTCAGTTTCTTAACTGCCTTTTTACAGTGGAAGTGCAAACTGTTACTAATAAACCTGATGGGTTTATGGGTTTTGAGGAGATTTTTCCTTTTTGTTCAGAAAAACTTGATTATGCTCATCACTGACTGAATATAAATGCTAATACATAGAGGGAACCAGCCAGGCAAATTGCACTTGGCTAATTTTACTTAATGAGAATGTCTGATTCTGTTCAGTCACTTCCTCGCTGAGTTCAGGTTCAGCTGCTAAAGCAGACCCAGGAGCTTTTTGTTAAATATTTTTAAAGGATGATCAGCTTATAATGATGTTCTCAAAGTCTATGACTTCTATTTGCTGTGATTGCTGTGACATATCATCTAGAATACATATTTTTCTTTATTTAATACCATTCCAGAC